TATAAACTTTTATTTATTGTAATTTTTTGATGTTGATATTTATAAGATTAATAAAAATGATTTAGAAAGAATATCAGTGAAATGTAATATAAAAATATTTAAAAATTAATTTAAATAAATGACAAAAATTATTTTAAAACAAAATGAAGAGCCAAAATTGCTAATAGGGACTTGGAACGAATGCAAACGCGATAAACTTTCCCATTTTATATACCGAGCTCTTCACTCAATGCTTTTGAACTGACGATGTGGGACTTTTATAATGCCCAACACTCACAATTCACATCCTTTGTTTTTCCAGCGATCTTCACTAATTTTTTTGGCTTAACTCCTAAACTTTTTACAAAATAAATAATCACATCTATTTAACATATTTAATGTTAAGTATTTATTTATTTATTCCGGGTCTAATCTCTTAAATTTAAGTTATATATATATAAAAAATAAAACAACAAGATGCATTGTTATTTGTTTATAAAATAAAGATGGATTCGTGAATATTACACTTATTGGGAATAATTTTAATTAATAACTTATAAACTTATTTATTATTAGATTATTTTTTTCGTTAATTATTTATTATTAGATTCTATGCTAAACTGAATAGATGAAAAGTTATCATTCATTATTTTCTTTTAGCTATTTATTTTTATTCTTGATGCTTTTGATAACAATAAACTTTTTCTTATAAAAATTCTTATATCACATTACTCTAATACATACATATAAAAATATATTAATTTAATAATAACTGATCCAACTGAGGAATCATGAATCAGTACCTCAGTCAATTTAATATCTAGTCTGATTTTTAAATTTTTGATAAAATCTATCATTTGTTACTATTTATCAGTAGTTGAATGAACAATGACAATTTTTTTTTTTAATTTGTGTATGTTTAAAGATTATGTGGGACTTGCAATGAAAATATGGCTGAGACCCATGATAAAAAATTATAATGGATATGATATTCATGTTAAAAATAAGAGGCATGGGATATTATTTGTTACTCTTGTTTTGCAATTGTAAAAGATAATAAATTGTGGACGTGAAGATATAATAAATGGTAAAATAAAATAAAAATAATATGTTCAAATAATAAATTATTTTTATTTTAAAATATTAATGGGGGAAAAAATTATAAATTATCTGCACATATTGTAAAGTTTAATGGGATTTACTGTCCATTAACAGTCCCATTAAATTTTATAAAAAAATATTTTTGAGTTTTTTTTTTCATTTGTATAGTTGGTAGAAAATTTGAGAAATTGTAAGAATGCAATACATGTTATTGATAAATGAAACTACCACCAATCTTATATTGAAATCACATTCTATAAGTAATTAATGGTCTATTTGGTAAGTTTTTTTTTTGCATAAAAATTGGATCGTTAATTATTTTTTTTTCAATTTTATTCTTTGAGAAGAGAACGTATTTCAAAATAGAAATTGTTACTTAAATTTTTATTTACACAAGATAATTAATAATGGATTCAGGATAATTTTTTGGAGGACAAATTTTTTCTTCGATTAATTATGGGAGGAAGAACTTAGTAGGAAATATATTTTTTAACTTGATTTCAAAATTTTCTCACACATTAATCAAAGAAAAAGTAAAAATGTACCTAGGGATAATACACTTTAAAATAAAAATTAATAAAGTAATTTTTAATATAGAATAAATTATTATTTAAATTTTAATTTCTGTAAACTAAGAAAATATGATATTTTGAGTATACAAAAATAAAATATTTTTTAATTGCCTAAAGTAAACATTTAGTATTTTAATTTTATACAAGATTTTTTTTATCTCTTAATTTCATAAAGTAATATCTTTTTAATCATTTAACTCTAACAACATTAGTTTCATAAAAAAAAATTATATTAATCTTTTAAATATTAATAAAATATTTTTAAATGTTAACATATTAAATTTAATTTTTTAAAACAACAATGGTTAGTATGAAAAGTAATCATTTAAAATAAATGGTGTTAAAAGTTAGAGAAATCAAAAGATACTTTATAAAATTAAAAAATTAAATCAAAATTTTATATAAAGTTAAAGAACAAATGTGCACTTTAATTTTTTAAATTTATATATTTTATTTTTATTTTTCAAACATTAAAATGTCCTGTGTATCGCACAAGGAATAAATCTAGTTAATCTAATGGATTGACAGAATAGCAAATGTTGGCCGAGTTTACGACTGTATTGTTTACAATGCTCTTCACACAAAGCTAGTTATTGTTGCAATACTTTTGTTAAAGATGTTTATTATTTGTATAGAGAAAATTAAAAATATTCTATGCTTTTTCCCCTTTCGCAAATAATATTTTTGGGGATAGTTGGCCAAAAAAAAAACTCTGAAAATATTATTTGCAGCTGATTTAAAATTCATGGGAGCTAACCATTTTGATCATTTTAAAATATGAATTTTAATCTAATTATAACTATAGTTTTGATAATATTGCGCCCTCAATTTCATTGGAATAGGTAATTACATTTTTTGACTCTATCATCCAATTGTTACCCTTGGTTTCATTAGTTATCTTGTAATTCTTGCCTTCCTTTTTCTCATCATTGATGCTCTTTAGTCATGCAGAAATCAGAAATGTTTTCAATATAAGGATACCACACCTATGGAAGTAATTTCAATGGCATAAAGGATCTGTTCATTCTATGTTCATTGCAATTACTTCAATGGTCCAGCAAACATACATGCTCGACTTCTGCATACTTGGACTTAAGGGAATTCGATTCTCAGAAATTTTAATCTTGCAGTGCTATAGATTTCTTGGAAAAGTGGAAAATATCTTGCTCCGGTTTTAAATGCAGGAAACATGAGATGTCAAGGCTACACATTTTCCTCAATGATCAATTGGTATATCATGGAAGATTGGTAGTGCAAGGGAGAGATTGCTTCCAACACACTTTAGAGTCTATTCCATTATTTATCACTAATCAACACTGGATCTATCACCTATTGGGCATTACCTCTAGTTAATGGTTATTTTTGTTCAAAGTTGGGCATGTATCCCTGTAATCCTTGAAACTTATAGTTTATCTTGGAGGCTGCATATGTTGCAAAAAGATATTTGGTTGTTGCTTTTAGGATTCTAGCAACTATTTGTCAAGTGTGTTCATGGAACTCAATTTCTTGAGATGCCTATCCAAGCGTGATGAAATTTTGCTCAATTCAAGCTTAAAGAAAGCAACCCAACATAATTTATGCATGTTCAGGAGGGTTGAGTCACAGGCAAGGCATACTGCCTTGCCTGTTTGGCCTTGCCCAAAATGTATGGTATATTTTTTTATTTTTTTTCAAGGGTTTGAAGTAAGGAGAGAGATTTTAGTCATTTTACCTTTCACTTTTATGTTAACATTTTGTGTTTACACTTGCTTAACCTTAGGCATCACTCTCCAATTCCTATCAATCACACCTCCATTCTCTACACTCTCTTTCTCCACTCTTCCCTCTCGCTCTCAGTAGTCGATGCCACTCCCATTTCAATCGCATCTTCACTCTAATTGATGTCATTCTTGCTTCATACACCCTTTGTCTTCACTGTCTTATGCTCTTACTCGGCTTTGTGTTGTTATGTTCAACTAGCCACTCATCTCTATCTCTTTCTTGTTAATGTTGCCGTGCTTGTCTCTATCTCTTTTTCATTTCTTCGTTTGTGTCCACTTTGGTTTTTAAATCTGTTCTTCATTCTTTATAGTTGCTAGTTGATCATTTTTGCTTTCTAAATTTCTTCTTCATTCTTTTTAATTTGTCAGTTCTTGTTTATCTTTGCATGTTGTTATTGGAGCTAGAGTGTTATTACTTTGTTCTTCTTCATTCTCTAATTTACTAGTAGATTTCTTGTTGGCTTTGTTAATTTCTTGTTGATTTTTATGCAAATTTTTTGTTTTAGCTTTTGTAACTTTTTTGTTCAATTCATATATTACTTGTTGATAACTTGTTATTATTGTTAATTCTCTCATATTTTGGTTCCCATTTTTTCTACAAATTTTTGTGTATGTTTTTGCAACTTTTTTGTTCAACCATGACATATCTCTCCTCTTCCGTTCATGTATATTGAGAATTGAGAAGTACTAGTAGTAAGCAGAAGCTTTTTGTAAGGTGGAGTCTATTATGTGAAGTTGTTATTTTACATGATACTCCAAGCCTTTGTAAAATTTGTTGTTTTTAATGGATTGTAGCTGTTATTATAGATAATAGAATGTTATGCTCAAACTTATGATAGTTTTATATTTCGGGTTAAATGTTGAATTATGAATAATTATTTATTATAGTTGTTATTGTGCATTTATGGTTTATACCCTTGTGAATGTTATCTTGAGTTGAGAGATAAGGATGTTATTATTGATTTATGGTAGATTTATATTTGCTTTTTAGAATGATGGGCACAATATTGTGGGCAAGGCAACCTAAAGATGCCCAACTTGAGTTGATAGAACTTTTTGCAAGCAAGGTTGGGTAGTGAGCTGCAAAACAGCCTTTGAACTTGGCATCAAGTAGGGGTTCAATTCTACCCAACCTTGCCCATATGCACCCGTATTATATGTACTCTCATTCTAGTTTTCTTTACTTTTTCTTAATGTAGTTTGCTTTGTACCATTAAAAAAAACTAAAGTTTTGATTGAAATATTTAACAGTACTCCTTTAAATTTAAAATATGAGTATTTTTTCAACTAATTTTAATTTAAAATATAAATAATTTAGTATCTATAATTTTTTTTACATTTTATCCATTATATTTATTAATTTAAATATTTGTGTAAATGTTTTTTTGTTTATTATAAGTGCATTGATAACTAAAATTAAAAATAAAAAATTAAATAATATATATTTTTACATAATTGAGAACACATAATTGAGAACTTTATTAATATATAAATTTTTTTTAAAAAAAATCTCTTTACTTTGGCCGTTGTATAACAATAATTAATTGCCCATGTATCTTTAAAAAATTGTAAAGTGAAATCATATAAATAGTGATCCTGATGCCGAAGAGAAGGTGCAATGGAGAACGGGGGGGAAATTTCTTCCAAAGAAGATGTCATTGCAAAGTTGAAAGATGACGGTGACTTTGACAGGCTACGTTTGAAGATCGTTCGTAAGCTCAAGGACAATGTATGCTTTCTCTGAATTCGTTTTTCTTTCGGTATTTTCTATCCGCTTTGATCCTGTTCTCTTCTCTGTTTAGGGTTTTTAAATTTTAGGTGAAAACGTTCTTCAATCCGGATTTGCATGATTTAGGCGAATTTGGATATCTTTGCTATGTTTGTCTTGGTTCGAATTGAATTGTGCATGTGAATTTGAGTTCTGAAATTGCACTTTGCACAGAAAAAAGTTTTTGAAATTGCAGTTGAAAACCGTGAACCTCGACGGTCACTGAGAGCTTCCATCAAGAACAACGTGCTAAAACGGATTGTTATTAGCAAGCCTGTAAAGTTTTAGAGCGTAGCTGAATGTGCTAAATTAGAGTGTGGTTGACGCTCTTGGTTATCCTTTAATTTGGTAATTTTTAGTTATGAATTTGCGAGTTAGTAGTATTGACTGCTAAGCCGAACAATTTATGATAGGAAGAATTGCGAGAACGCATTATTTCAATTGTGAGGCAATCGGCGGTGCTTAATCGTGACGGAGCAGAGAATATGAAACCCAGACAACTTTCTGATGCCATATACGAGGAAGTTGGGTAATTCACGGTCTCTTCTTTGGTACTGTATAATTTTGAATTGCAATTTTGGAGTTTTCGCTCGTCCTTATGATCTCCAAACACATTACTTTGTTTAACCTTTTCTGTGTTCAAACATTTGAAGTGGCTGGGTGAATTTTCAAGGTAACAGACATTGTATCATGGTGCATTATTTGTGTCCAGGGATAACGTAATGAGCCAGATATCCAATAGTTTGTGGCAAATAATCAGATCAGATGATGATGGCATGAAAAGTGAAATCACAGAAACAGTGCAATCTGTTTACGATAAACTGGTGAATCCAAAAGGGAAGGATGAGATCCAGTTACCCACCCCTGGTGTGATGCCATTTCAGACGCAAGTTGATATCGCTCCGGCTGCTGAAATGGGCGAGACATTGCATGAAAATGAGCCGAATGAACCACCCGGTTTCGCTCTTTCACGTAATCATCTGAATAACAACTACGACAACCAGAATAGGGGAAGGGAGCAAGTTAATGTGAATAATGGCGACGAAGGATCTAATGCGGAGCGGAGGGAAGAGCGCCACCCGTCACAGGAGACGCGTGGTGCAGAAGACGTCAGTGATGATGGGCCACCTGGATTTTCAACAGAGGCGGAGCACCTCCCATCATCTGATTGTGGTGATGAGGACCCTGATGTGCCTCCTGGTTTTGGTTGATGAATTGCCTTGTTGGAAAACATGGTTATGGCTGAAAATTTCTGATTTCAGTTTTTCTGCCATCAGTTTTGAAGCCGTCCTCAAAAAATGGGCACTCAGGAGGTCTCATCCTCAAAATGGATCCCTGAAAGTACTTCCCCCTGGAATCATGAAAGAGATGAAGAGGGAGAAGCTAGACAGTTACTTTTTTGGTTGTAACGCTTTCTCTTTTATTATTTCACACGAAACCTTACTTCAGAAATATTGTTCATTTGCTTCCCACATTAATGAAAGCTAATTTCACATGCTTCCGGTCATGAATATAGGCATGGTCATCTAGCAGAGCAACAGATGTGCAAAACAGAATCTTGCATCTGTCTAGGCCTGATAACCTCACTTCCACCATCCTTAGTTAGCACCTTCCAATACTGAGGTGATGGGCGATAGAAGGTATAAAAATGGAGTTTAAATTAGTCTAGCTAAAATATTAGTACGCTCTACAACTTTTCTAAAAACCAAAACTACAAGTTTAAAAACCAAAACCACCACCACCCCCATTCTCATCGATAGAGTTGGTTTCCAGTGGCTCTATGGCTGCTGCCACTTTGTTGAGTTTGTTAAAACAAGAAAATTGTTTGTTTCTGACTTTCTGTGACAGATATAATTGTTTCACCAAGCATAGCTGTCAAAATGACCGTTCTGATTATCAGAGCCTTCTACGATTTTTCTAGCCGTTCTGTTTCTTTCGAAGATTTTTTGAATTATTATACTCGAGAATTAGTATGAGCATACTTGAAATCAATGGTTGAGGCAACATGTGAATCAGGTTTGTAAGTTTTTGATAAACCTTAATGTAAATTGTAATATGGCACCTGCCCTCTCCATCATGCATCATGTATTACTTAACAGTAGTCTAAAAATGTCTTCATTTTTTGTCTTCCCCATGATTATCGGGTGTCAAATGCATCCGAAAAACAATCGTCTTTTGCTCTGTAGGCGGCGTAGTTTTAATCTGAAACAGGATTTTATTTTGTACTTTAATTTAATTTAATTTGCCTCTCCACTGTCATGCAGCAGTGGATTTCATTTTTCTTGGCTTCGCCAAATCTTCTCTTGTCAAATTCAAATTTTACATGGGCATGGAACGAGCAAATAAAGAACTGAAAACGATGCCAATGACAAGGACCACAAGAAAGCAGTTCTTCATAGTTCATGTGTTGTAGGACAACTTTTAAATGATGACAATGGTGTTCCAAGATGCCGCTACCGACCTTCATATTTCTTACTCAAACTTGATTGAGATGGGACTCCTAACATTGTGCTTGGCAGAGACCCATCGAAGATACCCTTGAGCATATTCCCTTGTTTTATTACCCGATCCAATTCGGCTGAAAGTGACCGAATATGTCTGTTTCTGGTTCACCTTCGAAAAATAAAGCTTATTTGGCTGGACCTTCACGTCAACCCCTTCCGGTGCTGTAACCACGACAACATACGATGAATAACCTTCCCCGACATTTGTGACAGTTCTTGTGAATGTCTGGGAGGAACCAAGCACAGCAGAAAACGAGGGGTAATTGAGCTGTCCTTCGGGAATGCTCCATGTTTCAGAGCACCTAATTGTTCTGCGAGCAATGACCCCAACTTCCTTATCACTGTACCCTAAACCACACAGATAAAGAATATAATGATCGGGTTCGATATCATAGACTAAACCCGGATCATCTGCTCTTGATGGATTCACATGGCCAGAGCCTGTGGCGAAGAGATCTGCAGGCTCAAGTTTTTCATCAAGAATGAGCTTGCCTCCTAAATGTAGAGTGTTCGCAGTAGTCATGATAGCAGATTTTATAGCAGCTGGCGACCAATGAGGATGAGAGCTTTTGAGCAAAGCTACAATCCCACTCAGATGAGGGCACGACATAGATGTGCCAGACATAATGTTGAAATTGGGTTCTGAAGATGTGATATTGTTGAGTGGGAATGGCCAGGCAGCCAGGATGTTCACACCAGGTCCGATGATGTCTGGTTTCAAAATACCAGGACTCACCAAGTTAGGACCTCGTGAAGAGAAGGATTCGACGACAGGAGCAAGGGGATTTCCTATGATAGTCCCTTTAAACAAGATGGTTGCTGTTGGTGTTGCTGTAGAATTTATATAGGCTTTTATCTTCAGCCCAGCATCGTAGCTCACATGCGTTGCGGGTAGAACATGAACATCAGCTGAGGTACTGAAGCCATTAGCTTCATCATTCATGAAGATCATGGCAGCACCACCGGCTCTTTTCACTTCTTTCCCTTTGTCAATTCTCGCAATACCCCCTCCTCTCTCACACAAAACAACCTTGCCTCTGAAATCATCGCCGTTCAAGGACCCGTTTGCACAAAACGCAGAATCTTGTTGGCCATTCTTTCCGGCATATACCAGTGGCATCAACGTCGAAGGGAAGTCATGAGGCTGGAAAACAGATTGGCCGATAAATTCTTCCCCGTTTCCAAGCTTTGCAGTGGCTGCAATGGTTCTGTCGATAGTGCTTGCTCCCACTGTGAGAAGCCACGGTGCTCCATTAAGTATAGAGCCACTGGTAGGGCCATAGTTTCCGGCCGAACTGCTTACAAATATTCCCTTCTGAATCGCTGCAAACGAGCCAATCGAAATGGTGTCGTTAAAGAACGGTGTTGGCTCGTCTGAACCGAGAGAGATTGATATTACATCGACGCCGTCCTCCACGGCTGCTTCCAACCCAGCGAGTATATCACTCTCAGGACAATCGTCGAAGACACATACTTTGTAAATGGCCAAGTGAGCATAAGGCGCCGTTCCTGATGCTGCGCCTCTGGCATTTCCGAGCACTTGGGCGTCGTCCACGAAGGCACCAGCTGCTGTGCTTGCTGTGTGAGTTCCATGTCCATCATCATCAAACGGCGAGTCTACTTTCTGCCCCCTAGCCTTAGCCGCACTGTTGAACGACCTCGCTCCGATTATCTTCTTGTTGCATGCCGACGCATTCATCACCACGCATCTGCCTTTCCATTTACGAGGTGGGGGTGGAATTCCTACATCGCTAAACGAAGGGTGATCAATCACGGCGCCGGAGTCTATCATTCCGATAATGATTCCCCTTCCAAAGTTCGATTTCTTCCATAATCCTGTGTGCTGCCGCAACCCCAAAAACTCGGGTGTGTGTGTGGTTTGGCGGTGTAGTATTCTTTCAGGATGAGCAGAAATAAAACCGTTTTTCTGTTGCACGGCTCTCAGCTCCTCGTGAGTGAGTCTTGCGGCAAAACCACTCATTACATTCCGATACGAATAAAGCAGTCGCGGTTGTTCCTCGTCAGAGCTCATAATGGTTGGTGATAAGAACGAACGGTACCAGCTCTCTAAATCTTCAGACTGCGCCAGTATCCTGCCCTCGGGTCGCTCGACATGGATAACGTATGTTTGTTTACCACCTTGACCAGAACTACAGTAGAAGCTCAGCACGAAAACGAGAACAATAAAGCAGGAAGCTTCCATGTTCAGCAGAAACGAAGCTTTCTGCATGAAGTGGAGGATGGAGGATGGAATAGTGAGGTTATCCAGCTGGTTTGTGCTTTGGACATATAAAGAAGGTTGCGAGAGACGACCAAGGCCGGCAGGCACTTACATGTGAGTAGCCGGTTACTCTAGTGCGAAAGCGAATAACGTGTTCTTGATGGCAGGTAACGAGCTTGTCAGCACGGTTATGTCTGTCTGTTGGTTTTTTCTGCTATACGATAAAGTCGGCAACATGATTTTTTTTTTTTTTAAACAAAAAAATTGTAAGATTCCTGTTGGCTTACCCCGAACCTGCTCTATTCAAAACGCGTTTATTTAATGTAGTGGGATGAGGAATGAGATTTGAGACCTTGTCCTCTGAGCTTAGGTTGCTTGCTAGCTCCATCCACATGGCTGTTGAATAGTGGCAACACATATGGAGTGATCTCGTGCAATTTGTAATTAGAAGGAAAAACATAATTTTTAATCTATTTTGTTTGAATTTTGTTGTAAATTCTGTATTTTTTTATATTTTAAATCCTTTTATTTTTATTTTTAATATTTTGTCTCTATAACATCGTTCATAAAAAGATTTAAAAAATTAAAATACTAAAAAATAAAAATATAAAAACCTATAATATAAAAAGAAAGTAAGCATCTACAATGAAATTGGAGTAAAGTGAAGGACCTAAGTTACGTTAAGAAGTAAGTAAATCACAGTGCATTTTGTGATAATTTTTCCGTTGCATTGCGTAAGTTTCTTTCATTCTTTTCTAGACGTACGGAAGAAAATGGAAGTTAAAGGAAAAAAGGGAGAAAAATATATAGGGTGGAAAGCAGTACACAATATCGAACTTTTATATTGATAAAAAATAAAGTGAACCATCCCTTTGTATTTGTAATCATACTCTGTTGGAGTAGGGGCCCGCTGGATTGTTGCTTTGGGAATTTTTTGAAACAATTGCGTTAAAGTCTCAAAAAAAAAATTATTGTAAAATTCTTGAATTAAATTACATTAACAATACAATTAATTATATTTAGTTTAATTATTAATAAATTTTAAAGTAATTAATTTTTTTATGTAAAACTTAATTGTAATTCTTTCAATATTTTTTTGGCCCTAGTTGAAAAAATTAGAACTTCTTATATTTTCATCCCCAGCTCATCCTTATCAATTATCACTCATAACATGACGGATCCATCTTAGGTGCTCATCATCATGATAAGGTGATGCAATCTGGACCATTAGATTAAATAATTAATTTAATATTTTTATTTAATATTTTTAAAATAAAAATTTATAAAAAGATTTAATTATTTTTTTCATGACTAATCTAGTTTATATTTAATTTAGAAGCTCTATTATATTTTTATTTTTTTATATATTGACTATCTATGTGTATTTTGTACAGACTAAATTTAAAAATTTTAACTTAAAATTTTTAAAAAAGTTATAATTAAAATATTATATATTTTATTTTTTAATATTGTATTTATCAAAAAAAACTTTAAAACTAGACCTTGCAAATAAAAATTTAATATTAAATCTGAACTATCCAAATTTTAAAAATTATAACATCAAATTAGATCAATATTATCCAAATTAATGATGAGCATATTTATCAAAAAAATTATATATTTATATTTTAATAAATATAAATTTAAAAAAATCTAAGCCTTCTAGATTAACCCTAGATGGCCCATATTCATTTTGATTGATGAGCACCGAAGACGGACTTGTAAAATGACATGTTTGAATTTCACTTCATCATCCATTTCAAAATTTTTAAGTATAAGATAGATAATTAAATATGATTTTTCAAGTACTGTATTCAGGAAATATATTGAATTGTTTATGATTTGATTTGTTAATAGTATAACTTGCTATCTAATTGCTTATATATAAATATAAACGATATTGATAAAAATTAAAAATTTAAATAGGTTTATTATTTTATGATTTAACCTAGATTAAACATGAAAATATATAATTTTCATGGAAAATAGAATATATATATATATATATATATGTATTATTTAATTAAAGAACCATAGAATTATAAACAACTTTGATAGATTTGTGAATACCAGTCATACTCAAAATATCATGCATTCCATCAATGGCTTTGGTCTTTTAAAATAATTCAATTAAACACGACACAAACAGCGAATTGTTACGACTGCAACTAAGACGATGGATAATATCATTTAATCTTCATCGACATAAGACAGAAGCTGCCTCAAATTTTGTCAAGTAGTCTAATATGATAACCTATTGAGCTGTCTTAATTTTATCAACCCTGTTTTCTTTATTTATCACAAACTCCAACTGAAAAAAAAAAGAATCAGAAATAGTATAAATTAATATATATATATATATATATATATATTGCTGTTTAGTGGCAACAAAAAAAGAAAGAAAATTTATATTTTTAGTGTAACATTCGAACCTTTTCTGAAAAATTATGACTCATCGGAGACTCATATTCTTCCTCGGTGCGCGCGCGCGTGTTAGAACTTATCGGTCATTAATTAGATAATTTGTCTTGAAACGGAGAAAAGGATAAAGGTCAAATTCAAATTCATCAGCTTATTGGTAATCACTAAATTTTACAAAATAAATGTCACTTGTTTAGATTTTTCTTGAACATTTCTAATTATTTGAAATTAAAAAGTTACAGTAGAAATTGACATCAAAGGTATATATAGACGCACGTATACTCCAAGCAGTAGATCGAGATGGATACTTTAATTTGTAGACACTTGATTCACGTGTCTTTATTTCTTCAGTATCATGTCTCAATTCTTCACTGGAAGACGACCGCTATGGGAATGCGAACAGCGTGTTTATCAGACACCCACGTGAGCGACCCCTGGGCAAACTCAAGATCATCATCATCTCTGGTTTTTTTAGCCAACGGAGTAAACTCGACTGAATACGTAACCTTCTGATTCACCCTTGTGAATATTATCTGACGAGGAGTTACGCTCATCACAACTCCCTCAGGCACGTCAAGTTCCAAATTGTAAACAGAGTTCCCAGGCCCAACATTAGTCACCGTTCTGGTGTAAGACTGTGAAGAAGGCCCCATTTGAATAGAAAATGAGGGATAATTTAACTGTGCTTCCGTTATGCTTTTAACCTCCAAGCACTCCACTTTCTTCTGCAAAATAATTCCAACTTGTCTGTCGGTGTAGCCCAATCCACATAAATATGAAACATAATCTTCCGGACGGATATCATAAACAAGACCCGGATCGCTTGCTTTGATCGGGTTCACATGTCCTGCTCCAGTTGCAAATACATTTGCAGGTACAAGCCTTTCGTCCAATACGGGTTTTCCTCCTAAGTTTACAGTTTCAGCAGTTGTCATGATTGCCGATTTAATGGCCGCAGGAGACCAATCTGGGTGGGAGCTTCTGAGCAGACCAGCAATGCCGCTGAGGTGAGGGCAAGACATCGAAGTACCCGAAATTATCATGAATGGTGGTGTATGGTTGTCCACAGACACAGGCCATGCAGCTAGGATGTTCAATCCTGGTCCTATAACATCTGGTTTAAGGATGCCGGGGCTTGCACTGTTTGGACCTCTCGAAGAAAATGAGGTAACCTCAGGAGCCAGTGGATTCCCAATTACTGTTCCATTGAATGAGATTGTTGCTGTTGGTGTCATGGCCGAGTTTATGTAATTTTTAATGGCCAACCCATCGACATAGCTCACGTGTACAGCAGGTAGAACGTGCACGTCAGCAATGGGATTAAACGCCTCCGCTTCACTGTTCATGAGAATCATGGCTGCTCCGCCGGCATCTTTAACTTCTTTCCCTTTGACAACTCTCGCAATGTCACCACCTTGCTCGCACAGCACTATTTTTCCCTTAACATCCACGTTCTGCAACGATTCAGGAGCACAAAACGCAGATGATTCGTTCCCGTTTGCACCAGCATATACAAGCGGCAATAAAGTTGACGGGAAGTCCTTTGGCTGGAACACAGATTGCCCCTCGTATTGTGAACCATTTCCAAGTTTTGCCATCGCTACCATTTTTCTGTCAATGGAGCTTGCACCAACGGTTAGGATCCATGGCGCCTCATTAGACAAAGAAGCGTCGTCAGGACCAGAGTTACCAGCTGAACAGGCTACAAAAACCCCTTGCTGAACTGCACTAAATGCACCTAGGGCTATTGAGTCGTGGAAGAAGGGAGACGAGAAACCACCGAGAGATAAAGAAAGCACATCAACACCATCCTCAACGGCTGTGTCCATTGCAGCTAGGATTGCACTTTCAGTACAACCATAAAACCCGCACACTTTATACATTGCCAAGTGCGCATTGGGGGCCATACCAACTGCTATGCCCTTAGCGTTGTCGAAAACACTTGCGTTCCCTACGAATCTTCCGGCGGTTGTGCTGGCTGTGTGAGTTCCATGACCCACTTGATCGAACGGTGGGTCTACGGGTAGGGTTGAGTTCTTGACGAAGTTTCTCGCCCCGATGAGCTTGTTATTACAAGTCCTCTGTCCGTTGAATTCGCAGAAGCCTTTCCATTTTGCAGGCGGAGGTGGCATTCCTTCGCCGGAGAAGGAAGGATGGGAGGGTTGTATGCCAGTGTCCACTACTCCGATGATGACGCCTTCACCGAACTTGGAATCTTTCCACAATCCGAGTCCTTGTTGCAACCCCAGGAAACTTGGGGTATGAGTCGTGTGTAAAGAATATGTCTCTTCGGGCTTTGTCGACAGAATCTCTTCCTTCTCTTGCAGAACTCTCGCTTCTTCTGCAGTCAACTTGACAGCAAATCCAGAAGCGACATTTTTGTATGAGAAAACCATGCGCTGCTGGTTCTGAGCTTGTGCCGTGGCGGGCAGTAATGAATGGTACCAGCTATGCAAGTCCTCGTTCCGAAGGGAAGCAACATCCTGAGGCTTTTTAACGTGAACGATGTAAGTCTTTAAGTTGCTTTTTAGTTCTCCGAGTTCTGGATTTTGAGTGGCTGAAGAAGTAGGACGCGCAAAAGGCATAAAAATGAGACCAAGAAGCAATGCGAGCTTCATCTTCGTTGACCTTCTTTGGCTGGTTTTCTCCATGCTCTAACTCACGTTATGTGTGTGTGAAGAGTACTGCGTCTATATATAAAGACAAGCCCCTCCGAACAAGAGCGACATTGGTTTTCACGATAGTGGATCTTTTGTCGGCAAAGAAGATGCGAAGCCGTTCTGAACAACGTCCAGCTTCTTCGTACCCTGTAGGCTTTAGGGAATATCAAAGTTAAGTAAAGTATTAATTACGCTTTTGCATTGTAATTCTCGCTCTATATACCATGACAGTGTAAAATATTAAAACTTCATACCGTTACTTGATGTCATATGCTGCAAAGTCCGGGCTATGCTAATTCATGGCACATAGAAATATGGTCTGTTTAAAACTATTTTTATTTAATTTTATTGTTATGAGAATTGATATTTTATAAAATTTATTTTAAAAATAAAAAAATGATGAAAATAAATATTTTTGTATTCTTTTTTTAGAACAATAATCACAAATCACTTAAAAGATGTTTTTATTTTTTTATTTTTTTAAATAATATTTTATTTTTTTATTCTCAAAAACACTTTTTGAAAATATGTTATTAAATATATTTTTTTATTTTTTTATTTTGAGAAATAAAAAATTATTTTCAGAATAAATTGCCAAACATGCCCGTTGTTTTTGAACCCTTGTTCACAGAAAATATTTTGAAATGAGAAAAGAAATTCTCTTATTGTTCAAAATACAGTACTGTGAATTAATAACAATAAATTAAACAATGAATACTTGTGGTCATAGATGTCAATCTATTGCTAATATTCCTGGGGCCCGGTTCTTACTAAAAATGAAAATAAAGTACGCAATAATACGCCACACCCCTTTGTAAGAAATAGAGCTTTCACTAACATAATGCTGGAATTGATATGCAATATAATTAGTTCCGCGATAATTGAGAAATGTGTTCAAAGACTTGTCAGTCTAGGACTCTCAACAGTGTACAGATGGTATATTAATATATATAACCTGATTTTAGGTGCTCGTTTCAGTTTTGATAGCTAATGAATTTGTAAATGTTAAGTTTTGATTTTTAGGGAAATATTTATGTTTTCTTGGGTACAAATTATAGTTAAGATGGCTATTTGAGCATTTGGACCCGCCACCTTGGGTCCTTGCGATGAATACAAAGGTTACAAGCGAGGCTAGTGCCTAGCATACACGTTGCATGAATGAGGGGGAAAAAAAACGAGTCACATTATTTCTAATTTAAGAATAACAATTTTTTTAAATTTTATATTATATAAAAACATTAAATTGGTATTTTATTTGTGTGTAATAGGAAAAAATGAGCCACGTTATTTTTAATCTAGTGTTATGACCATTGTTGTCAGACTCTCCGAGTTTATTATTCTTATGTTTCTAACTTATAAAATTGTGTCAACTCATTTATAAACTTAAAATAGATATAAACTCAATTAAACTTAAGAGTTGACCCTCCAAGCTTATCCGTATTTTATCAAGTTGAGCTAGTAAGTATATATTATATAGAACTTGGTCCATAAAAGCGGTAGAATCCAGTTTAAAGAAAAATAAAACTCAAAAAACAAAATCTAATATTAATAAAAAAAAGAAAACAAATGCCAAGATTAAATGCCCTATTTTGAAATATCTATGTTAAGTATGATAATCTATTAATGTAGATATATTTAATTTCAATGATTTATATTTAAAATATCTTTAAATTAACTTATGATCTCATTTTATATTTTAACTATTTAATTATATACTTTTAATAATTATATATTAATAAAGATAAACTCTATTAATAAATAATTAAACTCTCAAGTTTACTATCTGAATCTATATTTATGTCACACGTTTATTTAACTTTTGAGTTTGACAACCAGTGTTATGACTTTAGATTTTGAAACACTCGCACCTGGGGACATGGGATCTACAATGCTCATCCCTTCAAAACTTGTAACAATCCCTCAACTTTCCAATTTTTTTTCCTTTTTTTTATTATTGAACTCCATATAATAAAATGATTTAGTTTTATATTTTTTAAAGATCCTTTTTAAAGAAAATAAATAAACAATGCAAAATTTTAGGATATTTTTATTTTAAATATTATATATAAAATTATACCATTTTAACACTGTAAAATATTAAAATATCCCTCATTTGATATCAAATATAATAATAAAAAACAAAATAATTGGAAGGTTAGTAAAATACTCTCACTATCCTTCTATTTTGCTCTAATTACAAAGACCCCCGTTGTTATGAAAACATATAATTTAGTCCAATCTGTTAACCAAGTTAGGAATATTCTAAAAAGATTTTAAAAACTTATTTTTAAATTAAAATTTACATGAAAAAATTTTATTTATTAATTTAACCCTTACCCTAATAAATCCTAAATTATATTATTTTGGAAATTATATAATTTCATTGTTAAAAATATGTTTACAGATTTTAAATTTTATTTATTTATTTATATAATCTCTTGAACTTATATCATTGTGTTATGTGATGAACAAAAATATATGTTTCAAACATGTTTTTAGCAATTTTCAAAAACATGAATAAATAAGTTGCAATAAATTTGATGAAAAATAAAATTTTATAATATGATAAAAATACTAGATTTTATAATATAATAAAAATTTCAAAATTTATTTATTATATTTTTTAGTTGTATACACAAAGGTAGTTTTTTTTTGTTGGCAAATATAGATTTTTCGATAATTATATTAAAGTGAGGCATTTTGCTCAAATTAAAAGTTTAAAAGCCAAACTTAACAGTTAACCAATAGTTGAATGGATAGAAATATAATCTCAGATATATAAGAGATGTTTATGTAACATATATTTTAATTTTAAGAAAGGTTTGTATGGGTTTTCAAAATAGAAGAGAGCCTTATGTAATTAAGGTATAATAAAAGGGTATACAGTGTATTTCACTCGAATAAATATTGGAGAGATGAGGCATTAAAGGCTCGCACAGTTGTATAATTAGTAACTAGCGATTGATATTGGGAGGAAAAAAAAAGACAGAATTTTAGTCAAAATACTAATTATTATTAGTTTTACTATTAGTATGTTTATCTGTTGTGTTCACTTGTAAGGGTCTGCAACATAAAGGAGATCGAGAGAGAAAATTTGGGCTGAAATCAATTTTTAAGGGTTGCAGGGAATGAAGGAGGAGGAGATCGAAGTTTCTCACGAGTATGTGCTTATGGAATACCTCCTCTAACTTTATATATATAAAATGAGAGACATAGAGGAGGAAAAATATATCTTGAGTCATTAATTCACACGTAAGTATGCGAAAATAAAATTACACCAGTCGAACTTTATTTGAGTATACAGCAAACGTACTCAGAGAGAAGAAAAACTTGTAAGGAGAAAAATGAGATGAATGAATATCGAGAGCGTTCTGTTTCTTTCTTCACGTAGAGAACCAAAATCTCAACTGACTGAAATCACACTATAACCACCTTTTATGGGAATGTGTGACAGTTTTTCTAATTACCTATGTTTCAAATTCAAAGGTTGGAGAATATTATACTTTAAGGTCATGAGTGAATTGCATTTTGAACTCAAATATTTTTTATAATTCTCATAAGAACCTCATTCTTCAATTTAAACTTTTATATAGGCCTGATCCACCAAGGGTGGATAACCCAACATAAAAAGTTTTTATTTTTAAATATAAGGTATTGTCTACATATTTATTAATAAAATAGATCATTATACTGTTATTATATTAAAAAAACATAAATTTATTTTTAAAAAAGAGATTCATTTATTATTTATAATAATTAAAGATAAAATTAAAACATTACTGTTTTTTCAACCATATAATCACCTTTTATTTTGCATCATTCTACTAAATATCTTGTATGTATAAAGATGGAGGGAGAAGGATTGGTGGTTTGAGAAGAGGCTGAAAAGAAAACAACTCAATTAAAAGTCAATAACTCGTGATGATCATTAGCCATATGACTGAAACAAATTGAATGCAAGTGAACTAGATAACATTAAAAGTAGACATATTTATCGCACAGATGCGAGCGGCCCCTGGAATGAATGTATGAAGTCATTTGACTCCTTTATTTCGACCGTAAGGAGTTGTAATGCGACGCTCATGTGAAAATGACAGATATGGGGATTCTAACAGTGTGTTGTCGAGATACCCAAGAAAGAGAACCCTGAGCGAAGGAATGATTGCCTCTGTTTTGTTCGATATGTGGGATAAACTCAACCGAGAAAGTAGCCTTCTGGTATTCCTCTGAGAAGGCTATCTGAGTAGGGTTTACACTCATACCTAACGCCAGAGGCACCTCAAGTTGCAGAGAGTAAGTTGAATTGGCGGGTCCAACATTGGTCACTGTCCTAGTGTAGTACTGTGAAGTAGACCCCATCAGAATAGAAAACGAAGGATAGTTGAGCTGTGCTTCCGGTATGCCCTTAACCTTTGAGCATCTCACTTTCTTTTGCACAATCAAGGTAATTTGTCTGTCAGTGTAACCCAGACCACATAAATAAGGAATGTAATCATCGGGATGGATATCATAGACAAGGCCCGGATCACTTGCTTTATTAGGATTAACATGTCCGGCACCGGTGGCGAAGATATCAGCAGGAAGAAGCCTTTCATCCAGTATTGGCTCACCAGCGAGATTTACGGTATTCGCTGTGGTCATGATTGCCGACTTTATAGCCGCAGGAGACCATTCGGGGTGAGCTCTTTTGAGCAGAGCAGCAATGCCACTGAGGTGAGGGCAAGACATCGAGGTACCCGAAACAACGTTGTATGCAGGTATTTTGTTGTCTACCGAAACACCCCATGCTGCTAGAATGTTCACACCAGGACCAATTATGTCAGGTTTAAGAATCCCAATGCTCGCTTGACTTGGACCTCTCGATGAAAATGAAACTACTGCTGGAGTGAGTGAATCCCCAATGATAGTTCCTTTGAATAAGATTGTTGCTGTTGGTGTGTTGGTTGAATTGATGTAATTCTTGATTGCTAACCCAGCAGCATAACTCACATGAACTGCAGGAAGAACGTGAGCATCAGAGAAAGTGCTGAAACCAGAGGGCTGCTGGTTTATAACAATCATGGCGGCTCCACCAGCATCCTTCACTGTTTGCCCTTTTGTAATTCTGGAAATTAGTCCGCCAAGTTCACACAGAACAACCTTTCCCTTAACATCCACATTACTCAAGGAACCTGGTGCGCAGAAAGTAGAGGATCGGTTTCCGCTAGAACCCGCATACACAAGAGGCAATAGTTGAGAAGAGAAGTTTTTTGGTTGGAATAGCGTTTGCCCATCATATTCTGCTCCGTTTCCGAGCCTTGCAGTAGCTTTGATGGTTCTGTCAATGGTGCTTGCACCTACGGTGAGAATCCATGGGGCCTCATTGGAGAGAGTAGCGTACTCAGGGCCAGAGTTTGCAGCTGAGCAACTGACGAAAATGCCCTTTTGAACCGCAGTGAACGCACCTAATGCAATGGGGTCGTCGAAGAAGGGAAGAGAACCCAAACCAAGTGACAGAGAGAGCACGTCCACGCCGTCCTCGATGGCAATGTCCATTGCAGCTAACATTGCGCTTTCGGTACATCCCACTGTGTTGTCGCAAACTTTGTACATTGCTACGTGAGCTTTAGGTGCCATGCCAGCGGCGGTGCCCAGAGCATTGCCAAAAACGCCAGCGTCCTCCACGAAGTTTCCAGCGGCTTCGCCGGCTGTGTGGGTACCATGTAAGAAATCTTCAAATGGAGGTTCTTGTTTTGCGGTTCTCACTAAATTCCTTGCGCCGATAAGCTTGTTGTTACAAGTCCTCTGTCCAGTGAATTCACAGAAGCCTTTCCATGTGGGAGGAGGTGGCGGCATTCCTTCGTCGGAGAAGGAAGGATGGAATGGGTATATTCCAGTGTCGATGACCCCAATTATGACGCCCTCACCAAAGTTGGACTCTTTCCACAGTCCTGATCCCTTTCTCAACCCCAAGAAGCTTGGCGTGTGAGTGGTGTGTAAAGAAAGGGTCCTTTCGGGACGAGCCGACACGATTTCGTCCTTCTCTTGCAGAGCCTTGGCTTCTTCCTCTGTTAATCTAACAGCAAATCCTGACACAACATTTCGATAGGAGAAAACCATGCGATCCTTGAACGAGGTTTCGGCAGTACTAGTTGGCATGAACGATTGGTACCAGTTATGCAACTCTTCAGATTGAAGAGAAGCGATACCATCGGGCTTCGTGACATGAACGATGTAGGTTTGAAGCTTGCCCTGCTCTTCGCTTTCAGCCATTGAAGCTGGAAAGACGCAGAGCATGCAAAGGAGACAAATAAGCAATACAAGCCTCGTCATCGCGACAATGTCCCTGAAGAGAAAGGACTGAACTTGGATGCTTGAGTCGGCATGCCTTGCCATGCAGGAATATATATAGCGCAAAACAGACAGGCCCAGATCCACTGATGCTGATGAATTTTGTGCAGGTAGGTCCCATGCATTCTAGCACTCCCATAAAATGTTCTGATCGTCCCTTTCTATCTCTCTGGATTTCGAGTGTCGACTGACAACGGACCGGCGTTGTCCACAGTGCTCCTCGCGACAGGGACTTGCTGCATGCGGGCCTAGGACGGCTTTTTCTTGTTGATAGTTATTTATTGATTAGTTATTATAAAAAAAAAAAAAAGTGCATGCGCAACATAATGCTAAGGTGATTAAAGTTTAAATATTAATCTACTCGCATGGAAATGCCCGCTTGACGTGCCTTCGTGCCATAGGTCGATGGCTAGTTAGAATCATTGCGATATGTTCAAACCATCATATACGTCCGTCTATTATGGCAATGCATTATCTATGGTTCCTAATTTTTTAACCAGGAAAAAAAAAAATTATCGCCCCTTACGGATACAAATGCTTTTCATTCAATGCAAGAGTTTAGAGATAAGACAAAGAATTATCACATCATATTGCATTAAATCAAATTACTTATGTATATAAAGAGTAAGACTTAAAAAAGAGAGAATTTCTTTTTTGGTCAAAGGAGGAAAAAACAGAGAGAGAGAGAGAGAGAGAGAGAGAGAGTTGAAAGGGAGGGAGCAATAAATAATCAAAGCTTCGATGGCCTCGAATGGACCTGATAATGGTCTGGGCCTATCGAAATTGCAAAACATGGGCCTAGATTTCCAAAACATGCTATCTGTTTCGTTGCGGATCGAGGCAATAATGACGGGTCCAATGAATATGGGCCGTCGGAAATCAAGCAACAAAATCATCATTTTTATTTTGGAATGAATACTGAATCTTAATCATGAAATTACATTCACTACTTTTACACAATAAGCCGGGGTTAATCAAAGATAATATAACCAAATCATTATATGTCCAAGTAGCCAGAAAACAGGCACGGGAGTTGGTTTCCTTAAACATAAAGTTTAAGCAAATATTCCAATCTCAATAGAAAAACATTATATCCTAATTAATAACATTTCTAAAAAGATGATGAGTGATGTCATTTCTGATGGTAAGATTTATCACCTTCGAATAATCCGTGTAGATTTGAGCATTTCCAAAATTCCTCTCACAGCATAAAGTAGGCCAAAGATGATACCAATCATTTCAGTGATAGCAGGAGGATAGTTATTAATATTAGTGATAAAACCACATACCCAATCAACACTATTGTATCTCACTACTCCAAACTCACCAACACTTTCTTTGTAGGAACCACCGACATCAAGTCTCACTTCATTGCAGTTTGGTCTTACCCGATGTCATCATTTTTGTAAAACATGAACTGAGCCTTCTTTTTGTTTAATGAAAAGTCATCATTGTGATTTACAATGTCTGAGTACATGTTTGAATTAAAAAATTTGCAACTGAGGCTAGAAATCAATTGAGACTGAAAGAAAAGTCTATGATTGTAATATGCTTTATGTTTGAATACATTTTTTTAAAAGGTCTTAGATAATTTTATTTGAATAATTTGATTGAAAAACCAGTTAAGATGTCTAATGATAGAAATCGACATGAGTAATACCCATAATATAGTCAGCCATGGGCACCCAATATCTTAAAGTAACAAAAAAGGTAAAAATACCTATAAAATTATATGAATGGGTGCAAAAGTAACCAGATCATTAAATTTGACTTAACACCGTTAAATTTGACTATTAAATACTGACTGTATATATCATGTGTCAGTCTTTACTGATGTGGACTAAAAAATAGAGCAAAAATGTCCATGAAGTTATCGACCAGGAGCAAAAATACCCATAACATTGCTAGAGTTGGTGCAAAAGTGACCACTCATCCAATTCTTTAAATATTGAACGTTTAGCTGACACCTAAGTAAAAGTTAACTATTTTTTTTCCACTAATATAGATAAAAAAATATTTTTAAATGAAATTCTTTGAAAGTGAATCGGTTATTGTATAAATATCATGTAAGAAAATGTCATTTTGACTAAATATCAAATTAAATTACTTGTTTCTTTGCAGTAAGGGCAAAAATCATTTAAAATTTTTGAATCTATCGTGAATGCAATTGCTTAAGGTTGTGATAATGTTCTTAAGTTAGATGTGCTTAGTCTCGATCTTTGATTTTGAACAACCTATCTCACTATGTTAAATCTCAGGTTTTACAAACAAGAAAAATGAGTGGAGAGGAAGAAAGGAAGGGAGTGAGATACGTGATGATAAAAAGAAATCATATGTCATTAATTTTGACAGATTGATTACTATTGCACCTACTAAAGTAACATTATAGGTACTTATACACTGATAGATCAACATCCATCAAAATTCATCTTGAAATATTTTTTGTCTACATCAGCAAAAAATAGTCAACTTCTGTTTAGGTGTCAGCTAAACGGTCAACATTTAAAGGATTAGATAGATTGGTCATTTTTGCACCAACTCTGATAACGTTATAGGTATTTTTGCTCTTGATCGATAACTTCATGGGTATTTTTGCCTCTTTTTTAGTCCACGTCAATAAAAATTGACACATGACATGCACAATCAGTATTTAATGGTCAAAGTTAATGGTCTGGTTACTTTTATACCCATCTATATAACGTTATGGGTATTTTTATCCTTTCTGTTACTTTAGGATACTGGGTGCCTATGACTGATTACATTGTGGGTATTTTTGCCTCTTTACCCGTTGTTATATATATTGATTGATTTGATATCTTTAGGAAAAATTGTTAAACTTGTAATTATATATTTTTTTTAAAAAAAGTAGATTATAAATCTAAAATATATTGATAAGTAAAAAAATATTATTTTTAAAAAAGGTATTATTAAATGATAAAATAAAAAATATTCAATTATAAAATGCTAAAATAAATATTTCATTAGCTTGTTTTTATTGGAGAGAGGATAAATGACATGGTGCAATAGATGCAACTAATTTCCTGTGCTTTAAATTAATTAGATATAAAGTTTCCCTTATTACTATTATTAATAAATAAAATCAAATAAAAATTTTCAAGTGTATGCCTGAAACAATTTCATACATATAAAAATATTTAGTTATATTAATCCATCTAAATAATAAAAGTATTCCAGGCAACCCACTGCGTACGCACAACTCCAAACAGTAAACTCTATTCATCAACTCTATGAACAGTAAATGGCTTCAGCTATAGTATCGGCTTCAGGCCATTAACGCATGGCTCAAGGGAAGGTTTAATTGATGAAAATTATAAACCCAAATTTCCAGATGTCTTCTGCAGGCTAACACCATTATATATCGGGTAATGACTTAACACTTCCTTTCAAGACAACTGGAGCTATACTACTCTTCAAGCATCAGTCCCTTAATATTCATTCTCTTAGCTGGTCTATCTATGGCTTTGATTTCTTTGCCTTATCAGAGATTCCCTGCTCATGAAGAAGTACAGACCGATCATTTTAATTGTCTGTTATGTTTCTTCATCTTTATCTTCAGTCCTCTCCATGAGCTCAATGAGCAGAAGGAATAATTGAGCTCAACAACAGCGACCTAGAACAAATGAAGATGAGATTAGTGGTGCTTATTATTTTTAAAGCATCGACTCCTTACAAACCCACAAGCACAGTGGTGAAGAAGAAGAAGAATAACAACTGAACTAACACCACATGGAGCAAAAACGCGTTCTAAGGCTTATTTTATTTTCTTTTTCTTTCTCTTTTAACTTTTTTTAAGGCTTAATCATTATTTATTTATCCTATTTTTTCTTCTTCAATTTTCTTCTTTTTATTTGTGTGGTAGCTGCTATAGGGGAAGGAGCTAGAACATGGATTTCAAAAGTTAAAGAGTTGAAGATCCTTTTTTAAATGCTCAGTATTCCTATACACTACCTTGGATGGCTCCCAAGCTGTTGAATGGCAGTAGCAATAAAGTCTCAGAAAAGGTAAAATATTAAGTTATATCTCATATAATTCAACTATATATGGCTCTGCCTCTAGATGTTAGAATTTTGTCTATCTCTCAAATCTCAACTATTTCAAATTCATTCTTAATCCTTTATTTGTTATTATCGATAGGGTGCCTATACATTGCTATCATTATTTTCCAATTATACCATATGTCTTCTTGTTGCAGTAATGTCAATAAGGCAGACTTATATTTGAAATATTTTAATTTAATTGCAATCAATCCATTTCAAAGACTTCAGTATAATTTTTTTATAGCTTTTGTCTCATGTTCTGATTCATTTCTTATTGCAGCAATGACGATATGGCAAATTTAGACATGAAATATTTTAATTTAATTGCAACTAATACATTTCAAAGACTATAGTATAATTTTTCTATAGCTTTTGTCTTGTGTTCTGATTCATCTATGGATAATCTTAATCACCAAGACCTAGTGAGCATTATTCTTTTTTTAGTCTTAAACCCTCATCTATTTTTCAATGGCTTGCATTTTATAATGGCCAAAATAATTTTTTTGCTTTCATCTGCATTATCTTTAAATTATTAGAATATTTTGAACAGTTGATATTGATTTATCATAACAATTGAAGTTAAAATCTTCTTAGATATCTTTTTAGTTGTCTGTTAGGTAACAACAGAATCATTGTAAGAGGGGATGATCTGTTTGATCAAAGCTCTTTTCCTGCATTTGTATGACAAGTTATTTAAATAGCTTTTGCCTTTTTTCCTCACCATTTGGTTCTATCACATCTGACTGGAAATAATCCATTCTTCCCATGTGATTTATAACCATTAGTTTGAAAATTAGCCTGTTACTAACTACCTTCTACAAAGAAAACATAATATTTGGTTTAATCTTCTTTTATTTTATTTTTATTTCTCTTTTTTCTTCCTTTTTTTGGTTATTCATCAATTATTTATCCTGCTTTTTTCTT